TGGTGAGTACCTTTTTCCATTAACCTAATCTAACAATAAGATGAAGAAATGAGACTGCGAATAGTACGGTTAAATATAACGTTTTATATATCCATTGCTTTGAAATAGCTACGACGAATTATTATAACGACGTTGACTTGGCAAGGAGTTTCCTTTTTCTAGTCCAATTATTGGACTAATTATTGTCTATTGAATGCGACGATAACACAATCGTTTCTTTCAAGCGTATATAATAGATGCCTTGAAAAGTAAAGCCCCATAGAAAAGTCCTGAGAGAAAAATGTACTAAATTTTAATAAATTTTTATTTGAATAGTGCCAGTTGAATAAAGATATATTATATTATTATTTATACCTTTTTTTCTCAACAAAACAATGTGTGTTGTTATAAAAAAAACTGCTACTTGTCAATAAAATGGTATTTAACAAAGATATTGGAAAGTTTAGAAAAGTGATGATAAAAATAGTAAAATAAAATTAAAAAAGAAACGAATTGAAACAAAAATGATGACAAGTTTAATTGTAAATTATTGTGATAATAGCAAGTTGATACAACTATACATGTTATAGCAAACAGTAAAGTGCATTAAGTGTAAAACTGAAAGATTAGTGAAATATTAACAGCGACATAAAAAATAAAATACAGTATGTTTATCAATTTCATCTCAATATTTCATACTGCTTTTATTTACATTTATTGATAGCTTAAATTATTATCATTTGAAGCAAAAACCTCAAAAATCTAATAAATTTTAAATTGCAAAATTGAAAATATTTTACGTAAATTATACTAGAATAAAATACATGTATATACTAATATTTTGATGTAAAAATGTTTGCAATTTTGTTAGCATAATATTAACATCATACATTCATAATTATACGATGATACGTGTAATGAGGACATATAATAAAACGTGTCAAAAAGTTTATGGAAATGATAGACGTATTATTCCATGGCGTTTTACTTCTCATGTAACATTTTAAATCTTAATGGAGTGTACTATGTATGTGTGTACATTCAGAGGCACGTAAAGCGTTACGGCCGAGCAATGAATTAATTACGTGGGTTAGTCGTTCGCACTCTGAGATAGAATCGTGCGAGAGAAATTCGCGAGCTCGATTTAATATTTCACTCGGAGCCGCGGGGTGCGAATTTCTCGCAAAACCTCCGCATGAAGCCGAAATGTACGCTCCGTGTCGCTCTGTGTAATATCACGTAATATTATTTGTAATAAAATTTAATTAACCGCACACAGAACTGCGGTGGCCATTAGCACTCGTGACTTCTGCATAATACGACCCACTAAATTACAGTTGGTGCAGCGAGTGCCACGCGACGCTCGTTTCTCTGTTCGCGGCGGACGTCGCGTCGTGTCGCATCGCTCGCGGAATTGGACACGTCGACACCATCGGCGATCAACATCGCGACAAATGTAAACGAGCGACCGCGGCCGTCGCGCCGTCGAGCGGACCTGTCGTATTTTTCAAACTTTGCCAGTAAAATTTCGGGTCCGCGGTGGCTCTTGGTTCCGGCGAGCACGATATATCAATCCGTGTGGCGCGGCCTGCATGTCGGTGATGAAACGGCAGGTCGGGCTGTATAAAAATATTGGGTGCAAAGCAATTTGGCGATGACGCAATCGTACAACTGCGCTACCACTAGTGACCTATTTCGGGGTCGTGCCATACGAGAGCTAGGATCCCGCAGGGATGACTGATCCGCGTATAGTCATTTGGGCTTAGCGAATCCACGGACCCGAGCTCATCGCATTGCGGACACCCATATACATTTACGCGACACGCAACACACGCACACAGACGTAGAGGCAATGTACACGCACGCACGTAACTCATATGTATTTCCGTAAATGATAATGAAAATTGAAGAAAAGTAGGAGCAAAGGGTAACTTAAGTTAACAAGAAAAAGAATAAGAACAAGGAAGTGGCGCGGTTTATCTCCGTGTCTTGATACATTGTTAAATGCCAGCGTTTCGTGAACGTTGCATTTCACTTCATCAGGGTGAGAAGTATCAGGTTGCTTCTCGCCCTGATGAAGTAAACTGCAACGTTCACGAAACGTTGGAATTTAACCATGTATAAAGACACGAAGATAACCGTGTAACTTCCTTGAAGAAAATATCCCTGGGAACCTCAAAAGTATTATAGAATAAGAGTTGTAATTTCTAAATGTGTATACTGAGAATGTTATTTAATTGAAGATATTAGAGAAATTGAAAGAAGAACGAGAACTATGACTATTATACTGAATACGCCTAAATTTAAAAAGCAATAGAATTTACATATAATAATATAATTAATGTGAATTCTCACGGACTCTCCAAATTCAAACAATAAACAAAATAATTCTTCAAAGGCGAATGAGATCCAAAGATTGTCATAAGTATAAAAATTGAGAATCATTTAAAGATATTTAGATCAATCATCTTAACTATGCTTATGTCGGATATTAAAGACTTTCAAAATTAACACATATACCATGATATCAATTATGAACCTTCCTACTTCGCATACAATTCAAAACAGTTTTGAATTCAAAACAGTTTTGGATCTTGCAAGACATAGTTCGTCTGATCTGTTAATTGGATGGGACTCACTTGCTAGATGTAATGATCATTTATGGAATATCTTTGACTGAAGATGACTTAAAATAAGTCGAAACGTTTTGAAGATTTTATTTGAATAAATAGATTTTTTAAGGATCCCATTACTTTTTGTTTGCGACCCAATAACATCGCTTGTACTCTCATTCGCCTTTGAAGAATTATTTTGTTTATTGTTTACATATAATATTTGACATAACATGCACGATTTTAAAAAATTTAAACGTTAATTTCAAGAACCGACATTTACCTATATATTATAATAGGCATGAACGATATTTAAAATTTAATCTGATTAAGGCTCATACTCGCGGCCTACTTGCGGTTGTCAACTGCACACGTAATATCCGTGCAATGAAATGTTTCATTGAACAATGCTTTAGTTGGTAACTTTAAGCGGTAACTCTCGACGAGCTCGCCGGATGCATAACTTCCCTAACGTGCCGCGATGGAACGCGTCCTGCGGTCGGGTCACCTGTTAAGCACAATGCTTAATCGAGCTCCGTAAGTGATTAGGAAACTCTGAGAGGGAAACCGCCAAAATAATTAACATCCGCGTTTCGGCGCGCGTCGACGGTGTTAGAAACGCTAAACGGCATGTAACGTTATCGAGCGGGTAAACGCGAAGCGGACCCGCGATCTTGCATTAGCGCGCACGAAAATTCAACCTCGTCTCCTCTCCCGCTCTTCTCACCACGGAGCAATTCCATCTGCACGTGAGATATCGCGGCTTGCGGTCCAGATCTTAACATATATAACTTCCCCATAGAGATCTGTTAGTATTCGAACGTGTTAAGTCCCGCGTTCTCTCTCCGTTTGTTCCCCGTTCGACCGATGCGATGGACGGTTGAGGTCAGGGCTAATTAAACTCGGCCAGAATTGGGTTTCACGAGTCGTATTAAGCGTCCTCGTCACAAGGATATTTGTTTCGGTGCAATGGCGGTGATGGCGAACAGAATGCCACCGTTTAGAGGATTCGCCAGATTTCCTTTCGATGAAATCCGTGTAATGTAGTTGACGAGAATTGCATTCATTGGTGTTCATTAGCTAATCCCTAGTAAGATGTAAAGGTATATAAACTACTATCGTAAATCGATTCTGTGCTGTAAAACGAGAAATGTAGATAAATTTGATGTAATCGCAAGAATGACTCTAACACATTATTTAAAAGATCAACCGGCTTTGATGTTGCTAGGGCACGTATCGCACGTGCGAACCGGACCTTTGCGCGCGTTCAAAGGGTTTAAAGTAAGAGTCTCTTTCAACTTTACTCATACTCTGAGCATTTATTTCTACAAAGAGGATAATCCGCTGGATTTCAGTTGGTTATTGCTAACTGTACGCGAAATTTACGGTAATCCCTACCCGTTGGCACAAGGGTCTCGTTCTTAACACCAATTTAATGCTACCTCTTCTATCGTTACCCGCCACGTTAAGTCCGTAACGCATCTATAAATTATGCTCTTTCAGTATTTTGTTGCGTTTGTTCGAAGAAATACGAGATGATGGATCCAATATGGCAGACAAAAATGCAAAAATATAGTCGGATTTGCATGAAAATTGCTTCGTGGAGGGTCCAACGGCAAAAGGGTTAAACGCGATGAAAATCGTGGCTGTGATTGTACATGCAAATACCTTCGTCATTCGAATACGGTTATTATAAAGGCGGAAAGATGTTGCATATGGATTGGAATCATCAACCCAATTTCCAATACCAAATACCGTTCTGATGGAAACAGTGGAGAGAGGGATATGAAAACGCGAGTAATGGTGAACGAATGATTTTCGTAACAATCGTTAGTTCTCCGGTACCTTCGATTATTATTTTACATATCTTCCTGTCCATTATTATTCCATGGAGATGCGATTTTTAGCGAAGCTAAATTCAATCACGGTTTGTATATTTCTCCTATCATAAATTCGCCCGTATGTACCGCTGTATATGTCCAGAATTCGAGATTGAATAACGTTGAAAATAGGAGAATCAAAATGGGTAAAATCGAAAACTACGAAGAAACAGACCTTCCGAGGCGTTTCAAAGATTCATGGAATAACTTGTGTATTCAGAATCTTTTTCTCTGTAAATAAAATTTATCGTAACGCTAACAAAAGTCTCTTCTTGTTACTATTTATTGAAAATGTTTATCATATCGCTGTTTATCAAAGAAGGAAATTCGATGTCGTGAATAACTAAGTACACTCAACAATTTATTATGAGTGTACATTTTCAAATATACATGAATCCACGCATTAGATGTAATAGATTATGAAACGAGGAATGAAAGCGTTGGAAAATGTTACTATTACGAAGCGCGGCGAGCGCTCGCAACATTTCTTCTTTCGTATGTATCGCAATATATTTATCGCACGGAATACGTGCTCACGTTTAAGCGAGGCTGCTACTGGATAATGAACGTTCCAAAACGTCCCAAATTCCGGATGCGGGGCGAACACTATTTCCGCCAGGGGAGCAACAATTTCGTGTGGTTTTATATCACTCGCCGCCGGAGTCAGCGCCATGCTCGTGTATCGTCTTCAACGTGTGCCACATGTTGAAATGTGCATACGTTCGGCCGTTGCAACACGTACGGCTAACCTACGTGACAGGCCGCGCCGCCTTCGTTCGGCATTTGTTGCTCCTCGCCTTTGTCGCTTGCAAAAGCAACTTTGTGAAATGCGTAATGCGTTCTGAGTATTCTCTCTCTCTCTCTCTCCCTCATTAATTTGAAACATTAAAATATAGTAATAATTTTTTTATACAACATTTTCGTTATGGAAAATTGTAAGTTTTAAATGTAATGTATACTACGATATGTAATGAAGGCACTCGATGTAAATCATTTATTATCACTTGAATCTATAATTATTTTATATTAAAGTGAACAACGTTACAAGATATATTTTCGTTGTTCACCAGTGCTCTTAAATTTTCACCCGGTTCGCATTTTTCGGCTTTCCATTTCGATGACAGGCCAGCCGTGCAAATTAAAAGCGCGCAGCGTGGGCTCGCCGCGGGCAAACAATTTACCGTGGTCGCGACGAAATATTTGCTTCCTCATAAACAAACCCGGTGATCCAATTTGTGCGGGATGCATTTAGCTGGTTTCGACGCGCCGCGTAAGTTGTCGATACGTTATAGCCGTGAATGTTAATGAATCATCAAAAAGAGACTAAAAGGATCTGCCGCTGCGATTTTTTTCGTGAATTTCATTATCAATACATGTTTTCATTTGTTATATTTAACGATACAGAAAGAACGAATTTTATTTACAAAATTAATATGTTTTCATTATTGGTTATTTTCTTATTGGTTGCGTTTTTCACACGGTCTTAATATTTAACAAAATTTAATATTTAAATATTGTAATGTGTTTTAGTATTAACATAACATTTGTATGCCATGCATCAATATTAATTTTTAGGATTACATTTAATTCAATTTAATGGAACACTGCGTGAAAATAGGTACTTAATGTGTAATTAAATACTTAATGCAATATTTTGTTTATAACTAATGATTTCTTTTATAAAAATCTCCAATTTTTAATATCGCAATGAGAATCTTTATTAAACACCATAAATTAAATTATTGTTATTTAAGTTTGTGTGATAAATCACTGAGTGAGATGTTTGGAATAACCATTATTTTGTTATACGTAAATTATAAAAATTTTCTTACTTTTTAATTTAACAATTGCATTATTCTAATCACAAATGTTGGTTAAAATAATACAATTTTTTAATTAAAAGATAAGAAAATTATTGTAATTTACGTATCAACAAAATAACGGTTATTCATACTGAATATTTCTCGATAAAGACATCTTTATCGATACACGAGAAACCATTTTAAACGCATAGTTTAGTGTCAGACAGAATTATCCATGATTTCATCTCGTTTAAATCTTCTTGATTTCGATTAAAGCTTTTATCCTGCGCTTATACTGCCCGATACGTATGTACTATAAAAGCAGCGCAGCGTTACGTATTTTCTCACGGGAGACTTGACGAAGCAGTCAGTAAGCCGCAAGAGAAACGAGTTCGTAAATCCGAAAAAGCATGTTGACACATCGGCTGAGCGCCGATCATGCCGCAGCCGTTACAATGCAATACTATGTATCGGGTATCCGCGAATCATGCAGTACGTACACCTCACGTGTAACGCATCACACGCCACACATACGCCACATAGATTACACGTTAAGCCAGCCGATAGGACTCTAAGGCGAGATGGGCAACTGAGTCCAGCGTGCGTCACGAGGCGACACATTCTCGCCATATCTTAGAACAATGTCAGCAATGTAAATTATCAAAATCTACATGCAATATATATTTGATGCAACTCAATATTAATCTATCCAAATATACATGAAAAGAATATTTTTATATTATATATTAAAGCTTTTAATTCAACAAGATATTAGGTTTCTTATTAGTGATCTCTTACACAGATTGGAAAATAACCACGAATTTGATTAGCAAAATATAGCTAGATATAAAGCCATTATTTTACAAAAGATGGTATTTGAAGTAATATATATTAATAGACGGGACTCTGGTTGAAATATATAATATAAAGTGACACTGAGCGTTTACCGGATATTTAGTATTTACCATTATTGGCTAAAACATCTCCTACCTAAGAGTTATCCCTCGCCATTTCATCTGTCGCCCTGTCCGACTTTTGTAGCATTTGTATGTGTGTCGCTCATTTGAACAAATATCGACATTTTCTTATCATTTAATTCTCTGAGAATTTTTATTACGGTCTGCAATAGTAATGATTGATCATAGCACCATCAGAAAAGTATAAAGAATTCAGTTATTCTTTTATCTTTTCCATTTAAAAAGATGTAATTTTGGATCATATCCTTAATAGAAATTAGGATTCCTGTGATGTATTCGTGATCACATTTTTACATCCATATATTATTTGAAGAACTTGAGAGAGATGACGGACAGTAGACGTTTGACAATGTAACAAAAGAATCTATATTTAACTATAATACGAAGTACGTAAAGTGCAAGCGTTTTTTTTTAGGATATACGTATGTTAATTTAATTTTTTGATTAAACAGACATATTGTGTTAGATCAACTTTTTATTCCGAAATTAATTTTGTAATAGCATACTGATGACGACCTAATGAAGGTCTAAACATTTAATATTAATTATTTATAATTACAATAAAAATTAATTTGATCTATGTATTATGCTTTGTATATGACTTGTATACTCTTTTTTATTTATTGTCTAAAAATCTAGTTAGATACAGAACTGAAAATAATTTTATTAGAACGTCACAATAATTATATAAATGTAAAATTTATAATTTCATCTCCAAAATTAAACTTACAGGAAAAGAATAATAAACAATGTGAGTCAACACAGGTTATTCATGTTTATAGTAATGCAAATATTAATGTAATAGATACAGACGTTTCAACCCTTGGTATTAGGTCCTCTTCAGTATGTAAGATTTAATTGTTGAACTTTCCTTCCTGTATTGTATAATATCACGGATTTCTAACAATGAAATCTTATACTAAAGAGGATCAAATACTAAGGGTTGAAATGTCTGTATTTATTATATTTAATATTTACTATACATATACATAAACAACTTGTGTCGGCTTACATTGGTATTATTTATTATTCTTTTCTTGTAAGTTAAAATAATTATGTAATGTAAGATATATGTTCAAGCTGGTTGCCAAAATGTAAAAGCTTTGTATAATACATGCTTGAACGTTCTACAATTATTTTGATAGTATAACAAAGTTATTTTTAGATCTGTATTTAGCTAAATTTTTAGATACATCAATAAAATTAATCCTTTTGTAAATTGATGTTGCGATTTTATCGGGGGGAACTCTTATTATTATTCCAAAAAAAAAGACAAATGTATAGAAACGATGAATGATTGCATTAAACAAATGAAAGCCTTTGTTGGATATTTTTGTAACAAGAAGAAAATGAAAGAAGGACGCAGAATGGTTAATATAAATTTATTTTGGCATATTTGTCCCACTTAGCAAATTTACGAAAATATTTTTAATCTATAGCATCTTATATTTATGTTCAGTTGGAGAGAACTCTTTTAAGAAATTGTGCTATAGGATAGCCATTGCGTCTATGGCATATAAAGAATTAAAACCGCGAATACTGAAATAACCCACGAATATCGAATGATGTTTAATTTACATCCTACTCGGCTCGGCTGCTTACTTGAATCGTTAATATCCACTGGTGCTAATTCGACTCAACAGAGTTGCACGAGTTTCTCATCTTTGTTCTCTCTCTGTCTCTCTGCGTGGCACGGCGCGGGCGATGGTTTAGTGATTGTGATGAGAACGCGTCCTGGCGTAATGGTAGAGACAGTCGGAAAGACAGGCAGTTCCCTACCAGATCTTACCACCTTGCATAATGCATCGCGCGACGCCACTAAGTCAAAGGGGAAACTTCCCTGACGTGAGACGCCAGAAACACACACGTCTCTCTTCCACTCCTCTCATCCTTTCTTATTGTTCAGCAGCCCGTTGCAAATCCCTTTATTGGGTTTCGACTTGCTTTATTTTCTCTTAACTGTTTCCATCTTTCACAATATGTTAATCTCATTATTTATTAATTGCTGAAACATTTATCGATCTGTCGTCACTTGTCACGGATTTTACAAACATACATGAAATTATGACCGATGCGACATGTTAATCTACAGTGAATAAACTGCCAGAAACGCGTTTGAGCTATTCTACCATGACAGGAATAAAAATGGTCAAATTGGTTGGTTTATACGTAAAAATTTCCTCCATATCAACTGGAATATAAAAACTACGAATTTTTCACCCAAAAATGATTGAAGTTTAAATCAAATTGTTACGCATTAACGCGATCGAATATATATGCGTGACTTTGATGCAGTCGTTCACTTCGAATTTGCCTATGTCCGAGTTCCACAGAGGAGCACAGTGCGGTACGTTAATTCCAAAATCCCGTGAAGCACTTCGACCATCGTCATCTCGTATGTATCACGTCGTAGTTGCGTAGATGCTACGTGCGGACGGTGGTATAGTAATCTACTTCACACGAAGTTTCAGCCAAGCTCGAGTTAAGTCGGCCGTGTCGAGTAAGCCCCCGGTGTTACCACGGCTGATGAGTCCGGGACACTTTGGGGTACGGTTACCGAAAGACGACACGTTCCTTCGCATCACGATAGAAAGTCACTCCGTCGTCTTCGGTACAGCGTATCGGCGACCACTTTCTTGATACCGGCTTTCTGAATTCCAATTACATAAGGTAAATGTACTGGACATGAACCAATTGTTGGACAAAGTGATAAAACATTTCAAATATAAAGCTTTTGATGGTATGTACGATTTTAAATTAATTTGTAATTAAATTTTTATAAACAATAAATTTATTTAAAGTTATACACATCATTAAAAGCTTAATATTTACAATTTTGTACCACTTTGTCCAACGAATTGGGTCTTATCTACTAACTGTCCACTAAAAATGGTACATTATCGTCGATATCCTTTTGTTTTTATCATGTAAAACTGATTTTGTTATTTATTTTAACAAAAGATTGAATTTGATTTTAAACTGGGCGTACTTCGTTTATTTGGAATGAAAATTTGCTTATAAAATTTTCTTATAAATTTCCATTCTTAGATTTTGAAATCTATTTTGTGACATTACATAAATTCATATTAAATGTAAAGTTAATAATAATTTTGTTGAAAATGAAATAATACAATAGTTTCTTGAACTTTAAGATTTTAGAAATATATACGTACATTTTGACTGACAATAAATTATTAATTATTACAGAATTAAGATTAAGAATTTGATTTAGAAAGCATTAATTATATTTTGAGCTTTTGACTGTACAATTTGCTATAAATAGATCTATGTCTAGTTCTACATATGTAGGTATTATTAATATATAGTTGAATTAGCTAACTCCACGTAGTCTGATGTTCTACATTTTACAATATATGTGTTACGAAGTGCGATAATCATATAACTTTGTGTCATACCATCAGTTAACTTAGAACTAAGGAGAGTATGTACTTCGTGAATGCGTGTTTTGGTACTACATAATGAACTTTTAGTGGTCATACAATAATGGATATCTTGCACAATGAAACTTTAACTTGCTCGTACATTATCCTAAATCTGTGCATATTTTTGTATCAACATATTATAACGAAATTTTAATTTCCAGAAAGATTTTTAGTCGACAAAAATATAATGCCTTATATAATGTGTTGTATCGCATATTGCTATTATATAGCAATCACGGATCTATTTCCAATTTCATTTACAAGAATATTAAATTAGTGTCCCAAAATATATTTGTACCGTCGCGACCGGTTAAATTATATCGAACAATAGATTATATATATACACTACTATCCTCAGTATATATACATAATTTTTATTTGATTTAAATGTGTACTTCTTCTATTCTAAATTATTTAAAAACTCATAAAAATAAACATATTGAAAATCTTTAAATGTTTATTAAACTGAGTTCCATTATATGTATAAATTCCATCGCATAAATTATTGCATTGTATTCAGACAAATAGGTTTTTTAATATCTTGACAGCTTTTATAAATGTGATCAAATTGTATGAAATACGTTTCACTATTTGGTTTAATTATTACAATATGTGTATTACAATAAATCTGATAATTTAAAAAATGCACTCAAGCTAATTTTATAACTAAAATTTTTATTATTAGAAAGATTGTTAGATGCATGGATATACAATATTATATACATAGTTTATATTATTATTATAGTATTTTAAATACGCTGTAATAATATTGCGTTGTATTATAGAACAATTATTGATTTATTAATATCATTTTAAAATAATCATAAAGTTTACCATTTTCTCATTATGATAGTATTGCTAATTTAATCCAATCTTGAATCTAATGAAAAAGAAATAAAAATTGGAATAATAACTAAATGATGTATAAGCTATTTAATATTATTTTTAATTAAAAATAAATTTTTATTTCTAATTTACAGTAAACAAAAATATTGTTTATAAATTCGAATTACAATAATATTTTTATTACATACATTGAAAAATTTCAGGATTTAGTGACGGGTATAAAGTACGGTATTGTTTAAGGTGAAACGTATAATCTGAATGATAGTCAACGTTATTGCACATTTTATTATAAATAATGTTATGGCGCACAACGCAATAATATCCATATCGTAACGTTGATACCATGGTTTAGTGCTATCACTAAATCGAAGATGATTTGCTCCTTTGTGACGCATCACAAATTCTATCCACCATATTATATTCTCAGTGCTATTATATGGTTGATCCTTGGAGAGAGAACTTAAACGCATCATTTCTTCTTTGTAACTGCAAAATACATTAACAAATTATTAGTATTAGTTTTACTGTATTTATGTATTTATAATATATATCATGTAAAAATTTTATATTAATTCAATATTAATATATTAAAACAAAAAACTGATCGTAAAATATAACTTATTTTAATGTACTTCTATATCATATTGACTGTCAAAGGAGTTTTGACAAATATACAGGTTGAAGCATTGAAAACAGGTCATCTGAATAACTCGCTTGTTTTAAACAATAGAAAGAAAAGTGTCAAACAAAAGTTGCTTGGTTTCGAGAGGCACATAATGTGATGTAAATAATTGTTTTGTAGGTGGAGGCATAAGGGATAGGCAAAAATCAAATCTGTTTTTTTTAAATGGAATGATATGTTTTTTTATTTACATTCTAATAGAGCATTTTAAGACTTTTTCCGCTTTCGTATAACGCATTTCACAAGACATGCATTTCGATCGATAATTGATAAATAAATTCAAACTGATCAGTAAATGTGGATAATATACTATGTGCGATCCAATGTTTATTTACATATGTGATATTACGTGGTACACTTGAACGATTAGCAGTACATCAACAAGCAAAGAAAACGCGAAGTTATTCGAAGAGTGCCTTGAAACAATTTATTTTTTATTTAATTATTTTTCATTATTGACCTTGCGTAACCTTGAATAATCTTCAATTATAGGTTGTATTCGTCTTAAAATGCTCTATCAGAATGTAAATACTGTATTCGTCTTAAAATGGTCTATCAGAATATAAATAAAAAAACATTATTCCATTTAAAAAAACAGATTCGACCTTTGCCTATCCTTTATGCTTCCACCTATAAAACAATTATTGACATCACATTATGCGCCCTTCGAAATCAAGTAACTTTTGTTTGATACTTTTCTATTGTTAAAAACAAGCGAGTTATTCAGATAACCTGTTTTAAATACCTTATTCTGTATAATTGCTAGGCATTATAATATTTACTTTTATATAAATAAAATAATAAATATCTGAACAAAGTATCAAATTTATTATATTTACAATTACAATTTTCTAATATGATATTATGATATAAACGAATGATCATACAGTAAGATTGTTTTGTCTGTACATGTATATATGTTTGTATTATATATATATATAACATATACAGGGTGTATCAAAAGTCTGGAAATGGTCAAATGTCTCAAAAGTAAAGCATTTTTGAGAAAGATGTTTTAGACAAAAATTGTAAGGTTTTAAAGATCTATTTACTGATTGTATCCGTTTGACCTTGATCTGACATTGGCGATGCCACTTAAGATTGAACAGATGTGATCAGTGAATAGATCTTTTTAAACCCTACAATTTTTGTCCAAAACATTTTTTTCAAAAATGCTTCATTTTCGAGATATTCGACTGTTTCTAAACTTTTGATATACCATGTATGTTATATACATTTTATGAAGAATTTATTTACATTACAAATGTATATTTAAAAATAATATTAAAGTTTACAAACTAGTTTGTCAATTATACATGATTAAATGAAAATTTGCATGTCAAATATTTGACGTGACAACTAATTAAAAATATTAATATACTATATATACATAATACCTTTTATCGTTAAGGATTTGATGAATAGCATTATTAAGACGTTTTTGGGATAATTCGTGTATTTTAATACTTATTGCGGCGCCCAACGAGACCAATCGTCGAACTCGGTTTTCTTGTTCGGACATATTCGGAATTCCTAAAATTGGAACTGCATAATAGACAGCTTCGTCGGTACTTTGGGCTCCTCCTTGAGAAATAAATAGCTTGATGTTCGGATGAGCTGCACAAATGAGATAATTAGCGCCGCGCATCGTATAAATGGACTATTGATCGTAAAATAATGACTTCACACTTTTAATTTTACCGAGTACGCTTTGCTGTAAAAACCATTTTGAGATAAATGCATTATCGAGCTTTCCCGGTAACTCATCGCACTCGAATTTCCAAACTATTTTATAAGATAACTTCGAAAACACTTCAACGAAGTTCCTCAACGTTTCTTTCGGTAAAGTGTGACAGGTGGTAACAGTTCCAAGACTCACGTAAATAAATCCTTCCATTGCGTTATCTAGGAATTGTCCTAAGTCCTTGTCCGGATTTAAATTCATTACGCATGTTTATTACGAAATAATAGAAGTTAGTAATAGGTAAACATTTTATCTCGATATAATTCGTTTAAGAAAAATAATTATTTTTTAAATTTATATATACTTTTGGTAAAGAAGGTGGCGGTTCTTGTATGTGAATACTATGAAAAAATACTGCATTTAACTGTTCGGGTCTAGGGTATGCGAGTATTGGATTCTCGTTGACTAACAGCAAACTCATATTCCTCATTATATCGATGATGTATGGTACGTCATTTCCAAAATGTTTTTTAACCAATTCCTGTTCTTTCTTTATAAAATCATTAATAAAATAATGAACAATATGCCACGTTTCGATAAAGTTCCACAATCTTTGCCAAATCGACGGATTTTCCTCAGTTAGAGTATTTATTTCCCAGTTTGACAAATGTGATGGATGTATAGGACTGCCAGAAACATATCGATGATAATTGTGTATGCCCATGGTTATAATTCCTAGATAATCGATTAATCGATATCAATCCCTTTTTTCCACTACATTTTGAGTATCTTTAAAAAAAAAAAGATCTATACTTTTATACGCTTAGAGTAAGCAATACGTTCCTTATTATATTGAAGTTTAAGAAAATATGATCGTTTTTTTTTGTACAATATAATATATATATTATTTGTAGGATACCTTGTACATGTTACTTGCAGAGATCATCTTACCTATAAGAGGAGCGTTAAATCTATATGACATAATAGATAATGACTGATAACTTATTGATTCTAGAATAACCGCGTCGAACTTCTCATTGCTATTATAAAGTTCTATAAATTTTGGGTTATTAAATATCAGTTTGCTTATTTGATGTGTTATTTCCCATCCAAATTTCATTAAGTCGATTAGCGATAGCCGTGTTATTTGTTGTTTATATTGTTGAAGTAAAGAATATAAATCCGGAAATTCTATTTTTGTATAATTTTTTAATGTTGAATCTTCTATCGGATTTGGAGTTATTACGGTCAGTTCATGTCCGCGTCTATTTAAGGCTAAACACAACGACTGGAAAACTATTTGATGACTGTACAAAGGTGTAGGCGCAATCACGAGTATTTTTCCAGCATTTGTTATATTATTTGCCAATAAAGACCACAAAAATAGAACAATAAGCATTTTACAAATAATCTTTAACATTTTGCCACTAATTCGCGAATGCTTTTCTGAAGTAGACTGATTTATAGAAATTAGAAGTTACTTGTATAAAGTTTAAAATATTATCAAGTTAGTTATCACAGCTTATTTATATTAATGACATCCATAAGAATGGCATAATGAAAGAATTATGAAGAAATCGTTTGGGTGGATAATATACATTATGTATATCATTTAATCTATCCTATATGTATATCTAGAACGTATTATATAAAATGATAATAATAAATATAACATAAAAACGTTTTCAATTTGATGTTTAATTGTACTTTTAGATCTGTGGATGGATATGGGCACAGTTATATATATTATATTCTGTTTGTTATTTACATGTTATCTGTAAAACTTGTAATTAAGATATTATCATTTTTCAAGATAAAGCAATGCTATATAGACACTATATATATAGTCACAAAACTGTCCGGACAGTGCGCCATATTGTAATAATAATTTCTTTAAATCATTGTTCAAATATTAAGAATTATGATGTAATCTGTATATTGAATGATGCTTTATTGTTATTAAATATTTTACAAAATATTTTGTTTTGATTATAACTTCTATTTACAAAATTATTTGATATAATTTAATAAGATAATCTTAGAAACTATGTATGAAGACAAAAATCTTCAAGGTAATTTAATAAAATTATTGTTATATAGCGTAAATCAGGGATTAATAACATTAATATGTTCTCTAACAATAAAAACTGATAATAAAACTACTACAGAGAGTGCAATATTATTTGTAAGTGAAATCGTAAAATTAGAAATAGTGCCCATATAGAAATAAGAAATACAATGAATAGTACTATGGCGAGAAATCCGATGATATCCCAATCGTATCGTTGATACCATGGGTCATCGCAAAGATTATTTTGTAAGAAAGGCGTTCCATTTTGACGTATCACGTACTCAATCCATCGTACTGCATTTTGAATACTATCATACGGTGCATCTCTAAAAATTTTACTCCAATGTTGCATCCGATCTTTGTAACTAAAAATAAAGAATAATATTGTTACATTTTAAGAGAGACATATAAAACTTATGTTTATATTACATACATTAATTATCATTTAGAATATGAAGGATGAGTTTATTAAATATTATAATTTACGCGGTAATATAGTACCTTGTGTTGCTTATAACTTCACGTATAGTAGCTTCAACGGTTTCTTTTGACAGAGTATTAATTTTAAGATGAACTCCAATACCTAGTCTTACTACATTTCGCACTTGATACATTTGATCCCATATAATGGGAAATCCTATAAGTGGAATCCCGTAATAAAGAGCTTCTTCAGTACTTTGAAGGCCGCCTTGATAAATAAATAACTTGATATTTGGATGAGCTACAAGTGAAACGAACGCAAATTGCATGGATTATTAATTTTAAGATAGAAACACAAAAATGATTAAACGTATAAGATATTTACACCTATGATATTACCGAGAATACTTTGCTGGGGAAACCATTGCAACGTTAGTATATTTTTATATTTCCTGGGTAATAGATCGGGATTTAATTTCCAAACAATTTTGTATGGTAAAGCGGAGAATCCGTCAACGAAAGCTTCAAGCGTATTGTTTGGTAGCTCCTCCCATTTAACATTGCTTCCAAGACTGACGTAAATAAATCCTTCCTTCGAATCGTCGAGGAACTGTTTTACATTCTAGCGAACATAACGAGACTAATGGTTATGTAAATGCACAAACACACAGCGTTATTAAATCTCATTTGAGAAAATCGGAAAATATAATGCAATATGTGTATATATGTATTTATATAAGCATGCATGCTGTAGGTATGTACATATATATACTTTTGGCAGAGCATCCGGTACTTTTGCAATGTGAGAACCATAGTAATATATGACATTCGGTTGTTCGGGTTTGCCATGCAAAAACGCTGGATGTCTGTTTACAAGGTATATACTCATGTTTCTCGTTATGTCATTGATATGTGGTAGATCTTCTCCTAAGTACTTTTTTGCGATCGCATCTTCTATAGCAACATGTTCGTTCATCCAGGAATACATCTGCTTCCACACTTCATAAAAGTTGACAAGTCTTCTCCAAAATGACATATTTCTTTCATTTGGCTTATTGATTTGCCAATTTGAAATATGCGATGGGAGAATCAGGGATCCAAACGTATAGCGCAAATGATTGAATGCATCCAAGCTTGAAATACCTATTTATCATGTTATCTTTTATCATCATCTCATTACGAATAATTGATTCAAATTAAATGAATTTAATGTTTTGTAATTTATTTATTAATAATAGTATTGTGTTGTTTTTTTGGTTACCTATAAGAGGAGCGTTAAATCTGTACGCGAAAGCATTCAGCGAAATTGTGGGACCCTGCGCTACAATAACCGCGTCAAAGTGTTCATTGCTGTCAACTGCGTATAACTTTTTCATTTCTGAATTTTTAAAAACCGCCTGATTTAGAATATGTCCCACAAACCATATAACATTTCGTTCTGCTTCTAGAAACGGTAAATTAAGATACGCCGTGGTGAGACTGGAATATGGTAGCGATTTATATTCAGGAAAGCCTTTATGAAAATAGTTTATATCAATTTCTGTATAATTAGTTAAAGAAGAATTTTTTATAGGGTCTGTAGTGATCGACACAATCTCGTGACCCTGTCTATGCAATTCTAACCATAGACCACGATAACATATTTGATGACTGTATGACGGTATATTTGATATAACCAGTATCCTTTTAGCATATGTCACATTATTCTGTACTATTACATACAAAATTGCAATTATTAAGAATGTATACACTTTAATCCACATTCTTTCAACGATGTCAGCAAATAGTACTGTCAATGCGATGTAAAACGCGCTTATATTATCTATGCAAAAAGCTGTAAATTATTCACGATAAAATAGTACAATATGAACTATTTGAAATGCGCATAACATGCATTTTTAAATAAAACTATTAAGTACGAGTATCTATAGTTATTCATTATTGATCGAATGATTAGTCAAATGGTATGCACGACAAATAGTATTCGGCAAATAATTTTTCTTTATTTCTTTAGTTTTTAATTCTAAAGAAATTAGGTATATTTTTAAAACCTCAATGAACATTGCGTGCAATTAATACTTTTCCATTATATATGTTATACTATAGCTTTTATGTCTTGTTCGTCTGATTTAACAATAATAGAATTTCTTAGTTGCAAGTTCAATTGCATATGTTAGGATACTCAGGATATTGATTGCATATTATATATATTTATATGTGTGTGTATATATATATATATATATATCCAGTCTAAAGTCTTAGTTAAGACGCTTGTATGGAAATGCCAGAGATGTGGACTCGACTCCCGGCCTAAGTGATATTTTTTGCAATTTATTTATAGAATTTCAATACATTGTGAGGTTTCTTTAATAGGATGCCAATAGAGCATCGAATTATTAAATTGTTTGTCAATTTAATTTGTGATATTACAATACTATAGTAGTTCAATCGGCTTGCGTTTCAAGATTGATTATTCAAGACAAAAATAATTTTTATGCGCAGTTTAAAATGGACAACATGTATGAGAAGCAGACTTTCAAAATGCATTTTGTCCAAAATTTCATTTTTTTAGTTAGAGATGATGTAATGTTCAGTGTTGAAAAACTCATGTTATAAGTTATTTTGAGGTATTCAGAAAGCATTTTTTCATCGTTAATTTATATGCTGAAAAAACATTTTGAAATGAGTTATGTTTTTTAATTAGAGACAAACAAAACACATTTATTTAACATTTTTAGCAATTGTTTAGCAATTTTGTTTAATACCTCACATCCTATTAATTGAAACATATTATTTTCTGTAAAATGTGTGCAGTTTTCTTGTGTGCGTATGTTTTTTTCTCATTTTCTAAAAATTACAAATTTAGGATAAAACGCATTTTGAAAGTCTGCTCTTCATGTGCAATATATAAATTCATACAGAATTATTTTAACACTAGTTTGACTGTTTAAGGTCCTTATTTCTTAATCGTTGTATAGTCACATAACGATCTTATAGAAAACTATATATCGTGTATATATTATATATGGTATATATATATATATATATATATATATATCTATATATATTAACGTATACATTTATATATTTATTTATTGATTGAAAAATAACAGGTTATTGAAAATTATAACAATAATGTCATTACATTTTTACAGTAACAGTGATCAATTCAATTATTTATTCTATCATTATTTCATATAATTCTTTATTATCTTTATATTTATTCGATAGATTACACTAATTTTGATAGAAACATTTCGCATTATTTTGAATAGAAAAATTTTATTTGATCAGAAATTTAAGTATTGAAGAATATTCTGTACATTGTATCTTGGGCTATTTCGGTAGATGTACTAGCGAATATTGGAATTCAGCTTTTAATAACGATAATCCGTCATTTTTTAAAATTATAGTAATAATAAAAGTAACAAGTTACTTTTTACAAAAGTTAATAAAAACGGTAATATTAACGCTATATTTTTATAAAATGACATTTCCGACTCTGATTATTGGTTAATCTATTTTTGATTCTTGATGAATTTATGCGATCGAATAACCCAACAATGCTGTAGTGATTAATGCGATCGTTGGCTCTTTACGACGTAAGTACCGTCGGGCTGGATATAAAATCGTTAAAACGGACATGTGGACATTCTCATAAATCTGTCGGTACCATAAATCGTCTTGTTGAGATATATTTAAAAGCGTGCTGTCTCCGATAACAGGCGGCGATAAGTTTTCTCAGATCGCTCGTTTCTCCATCTCTTGTTTCTGTATCGACTAAACGGGTCGTGTATCTTAATAAATTACGCATTAACTGCCAACTCCTCGACACTATCCACACCGTACACACCGATCTCATAATTTGAAAAGTTTCACGATTTTACACATTATTTATGTAGACGTATCGCAAGAGAAAATTGAACTTCCGTCTGCTAGATTGTACCAGCGTTGTTTGCTTATCGTACCTGCCGGAAATGAGATACCAGATTTTTACATGTCCAAAATCCAAATATCAGTTTCATATTTGTTTGAAAAAGTTTACCGACGACGGAAAGTCGATATTAATTTTTAATAGACGTGCTGCTACGCATATTACGCATTTTTATGTGGTAATAGAGCATAGAGATTACATTTTTTACATAATAATTCTCTGGATAGTATAATTTCTCTTAAAATTTAATTTCAAATTTTGTTTAAATCACATTTCAATAAAATACGATAATTGTTTAATAAGTTATAATAAGTAATATTTTCATTAATAAGTTATATATTTAATATCTTATTAAACAAGCTGACGTTATTTGACGTCCTTTGTTGTCAAAATGATGATAAATAATGTTAGTTTGATGAAATATATTAAGCTTATATTATTTTGTGAATTGGTAAGCAAGTTGATACTATTAAATCTGTTAAGGAAACTTATTTATGTGTATCTTGTTAAGATAATTAAGCTTATAATTAATAATGTATCTTGTAAAACAGTCGCTTGAAAGAATTTTTATTTCCTTATATATATATATATATAAATATAACAGATCTAACCCTGACAGTGAAATAGTATCCATTACTACGATATATGCAATCATAGGTACTATATAGTACATGCCAATAGGCTGCTAAAAATATTGTATTTCTCGCAATGTTAAGCGTCCTCGGATTGACGCATCTTTTATTAATTCACGTTATCCGGAAAGGCAGGCACTGCGATGTGCATAAACACCTGCGGCGTTTTCCTCTAGTTCCCGTCATGTGAACATTATGAGGCTGCTTCGGTATAGCGGCTGTCGGAAGCTACGACGAGGAAGACCGCGATATGAGTGCGCCGAGAATCCGACGTTTTGCATTATAAAGCCGACGGAAAAGCCGGAGAAGAATTCAGGAGGACGTCAATAAAATCCGCTCGTGATGTGCCTAGTTGTTCTCCATAACGCGTATTTCATGACAGTAGGAGAGTGACAAGCGGTTTTCGATGAGCGGAGAAGGACGTTTACGTTTCGGATCGATTGTAACATTGACACGCGGGTTATCCTCGAAGATTACCGCCACGTGCTCGACATCGATGCCGACGGTTATTCTTTCTGCTTGAAAAGCACCGGATGCTCAAATCGCAGGCAATATGATTTCAGGAAATTCTATTCTTTTTTTGCCCATCATTTCTCAACATTTGTTTTTCTCATTTAATATGATCACTGGACTATGTGGCTGTTAAATCAGACATCTTCAGTGAAAAACTTATTTTTATGAATCTATCGCAATCTCATAATTTCTGTGAATATTAATTAACGGATATAAATAACATTGACATTCGAGTAAAAGAACTTAATATGAAGGCTTGTATTTATTTCAGAAGAGAATTTTTTAAATATTTATTAGACTGCAAGTACTGCAAATATAATCGATGAATTATCTATTCAGAAAAAGTTTCGATTGCGTTTGCTTTTGTTAACAACTTGATTTATTTCTATACGTTATAAGCATCGCTGTATATCATATGAGTAGAGATCCAAATTTTCCAGTAATATTAAACACCTGTCAAACTAGGAACAGTAAAGGTAGATTGCGGTATCATGGTCTGGGACCGTGTACGAGGTATGTGACCCAACGAAATAGAGTTACGAGTGCTTTTCAGGATATTATGTTTGAGTTCGTTCGCAATATACGCGTGCGTTACTAACTTTACACGGGCGATGTCAAAGTAATGATGATGATTGTGGGTATTAAAGCGCAATTACGAATCTTTGTTCAGTGACGTGATAATATCACGACTATGAGCACATTGATTGTCAAAATCAAAGAATTACTATACACGCAATACTTTTTTATTTTCTTACATAATCAAAAGTACAATTTTTATTATATAATTTTTATTTTATTATAGTTTATTTGAAAATATTTTTTCTTGTTTTATATTAGATATATGCTATTTTTTGTATTTATGTATAAAAGAGATATTTCTGATTGATTAATATTTGTTACATCAATTTTAGTATAAAGCAAGACAAAGCATGGCGGGGGTAAAGAAATCTGGCCGGGAAGATAAGAATTCATCTAATTGAAGTATTTTAATTATTCCGTAGTTAAAAGGAAGTTCAAGGCACGAATGAATTTTAGTGAGTATCACAGGAACTTTAACTCGGACGACTCGTCGACTATTAAAAGGTAGTTAAATAAAATACCAGCTACCTAAGGAAATTACAAACGGAACGAAGTATAATTACTGAGAAGAACGTTATATAAAATTCAGCGTTTAATTACGATTTCCGTAATACTTGTGCACATGGAACGGTTACATTTTGTTTGGCATGGAATAAAGAAAGAGAGAGTTTCGTGGAGAATCATTATTTTAACGCAATAGAAAACCTTGCTTGAGAATAATACAGACGATGACCGCGTTCGCCACTTCTACAAATACGCATTGTACAAACAGCGTACATTTTTTTTTACTTTTATGCGACCGTGAGCGCAAATATGTGTTAATGCATGTGCATGTGAAATATCAACATTGTTTAAACATCACGTCAATGTCAAACGTGTGTTCGACCGCGTGCGTTAGATATTGGCTTTGCAAACGTTATCTACGCGCCATGTCGATGCAACCGAAATGCACAACAATGCATCGGGGATGCGTAAATAAATAAGCACGATCGTGTTCGTGTATGTCTGTGTTCGGCCGATTGGGCTAAAGCCCATGTGGCACATATAAAAATGTGTGGCAGTAAGATGTAAGCAGTAAGCAAATTAACCAATCATGTCTGGTCCA